GTGCCCGGACGCAGTCGCATGCTTTAACCCGTGAGTGGAAACTTTGACTTACTATGATACAATATGGATAAATATGGTAGACACATGCAGATACCGTAGCGCCGTAGGGCTTTGAAGTCATTCATTTGCAAAGACTAACAGATTGTCAGCCGCTTCCAGGAGGCAGTTCGTCGCTATGACGGGATCCTCGAGTGGCGACAGCGGCACTGCCTTCACCTCAGTCCTCAGTTATGAAGAATTGCATGCAAAAGGTTGTGCAAAGCAATGAACCTCTCAATTGACCTTACAATTTACAACAATTCGATCCTTTGAGAGAACAAGTGAGAGAGTATAAAACCACCCCGTGTAAGAAATTAGTATTCGCATGTCCGTTTTTCTGGAAGCATGCCCAACCCCCCGTAAAACGATCGGGAAGAAACAAAACCGATAACCCCTGATGACTCTTGTGGAAAACCCTTGACATGCGAGAAGTGGTGTGAAGAAAACGCGTGCACACACACTAACAGAAAACCTACTGTTCCAAATTGTCGGGGTCAATGCATGACTGCTCTTGGTGGGTATGTGCTTGGACAGAGGTGGGAGGGCTTGGACCACTGTAGCCTTGGCTTGCTACAGCACTGTTGTGCCGCATGCTTGTCCCACTTGCACCAGGCATGAAAACGATAACAAAAACGATAACACAGCGAACCTAAAACACCTACATGGGCGTAGTTGGAATGAAGTGCGCCTAATGTCGATTCCACACACTGCATGCATGTAATGCACACACTACATTATACATCATTATACTGCTACATTTGTTGCAGTTAGTCAAAGTGCTGTATAACGATAAGTAAGAAAAAACACGATAACGTCAAAAGTTCAAAAGAGTTTTGTTTTACACGACCTCAAGTGTGAATCAGTTTGGCGGCCTCTCTAAGTTGCTGATGACTTGCGGCAGACATTGCACTCCAAGATCAATTCATCAGAGCCGATCTTGCCTCCATTTCAAGAGCAGGCAGACCCCGGAAGCTGTGGTTCATACATTGGGATTGGTTGCACCATGTTGCACCTGAGGAGCACAGTCACCTCGATATCTCAGTCTGTTCTGATAGGCAATTCTGTGTCCTTTGCAAGGTGCCCCACCAGATGTTCACAAGGTCTTGTGATGGCCACTCGCGGGAACAAACAGTTTGTTTGCTTGGTTTGGCTTTGCAACAAGTCTGGCTAGTGGGTCAACAAACCCGGTTGTCAGTTTGTGCAGACTCAAGTGGCTGGCCCTTGTGTTCCGTTTTGGGCAGACGTACCGTTTTAGGGCACAATATCTTGAGTAGCCTGAAGATGCCTGGAGGAGCTTTCCCCGAGAAGTTTGTATAGATACCGTCTCGGGTTCATTAATTTTACTGCTTTCCCCACTCCATAGTTGGAAGGATGAAGGATGGCCATCAACACCAAAACCCATTGGCCTCCCACTGATGTCGGCAACTGCAGATTTTTGGAGATTCCTTGTTCCGCGGCGGTGTTTTGGCACGGGGAATGCAGAAACCCTCTTTTTGTGCTTATACTGGAGGGGAGGCCATCGCTATAGTTATTCATCTAGGAACCAAATCCAAGTTTGCCTAAAAGTCTAGGAACCAAATCCTATACCTAGGAGCTTAATAGTAAGGTACTAGCTACTGCTCCCTTACTTAATTAAGTAGGCAGAGGGGGAGCAGGCATCCTTTTGCTATTAGGTTGTGTTTTGTTTTTTTCTCTCGACAGGTTGCCCAATTGGTCATCGTGAACCCCTGTGTGCTGGTGGCCATCGATGGCTCCCCAGTGTCAATCTATCATGTGGGCACGGCACAGACGAAGGCACAGGTGCATGACGACCAGCTTCAAAGGCGGGAGTACAGACTGACAGAAAATTGAGACATGCTAGTCGCTAGTCTAGTGGAAGATGAAAGTTGGACATGACTCATGACATGGGTTTGACAATTCTAGGTAGTTTGCCAACTGCAAAGCATCATTTCGAAAGGATTTGAGACCCTTGAACGCTTTGAAAGACAGGTCCGGAACGCCAGCTGCCCTACTCGCAGGTGGAGCCTTTTCACGGCGGAGTATGTTGATATTTGGCTCACCCAGCAATCCGCAAGAAGCGGCCGGCTTGCAGGACATGGGTCAGCGGGGACTTGCAGTGCAAGCAATCTGAACCTATTTACATGAAGGATCATGCAGGTTTTACCAAGACGGATGTGATTGCGCAGGACATGTACAGATCTACGACCTGCACAATGTGAGTTTCTGGCCCCTTGGTTGTATCATATTTTATCAAGCCATGTGGGTTCAAAAGAAATCAGCCACGACTTCCTGAGGCAAATCTCCAGTGGAGCATTATTTGAGAAGCTGAAGATCTTGCTTGGGGCTGGCCAGCCACTTGGACCTGAAGCGGGCCCCATCCATGGTTTTGCTTGGAGAAGGCATGGTGACGTTTGTTGGAATCTTTTTGCATAGCGGCCTTCCCTCTTGAGAGCACCCCCCTTCTGCTCACGTTTGCAAGACTGAGGAACTATATGGAGCAGGTGCGGGATCGTCCGCTAACTGGGCGTGCAAACCACTTTTGCTTGACTAAAAGCACGCCTGATCCGCTCGCGGAGGGGTACACTTTTGGAGCGGCTGTCAGGTCTCGAGCATCTTCGTGATTCGTTCTGGATCGATGTTTTCAATGGCCTGGAAATTCATCAAGGCACCGGATTAGGATTTGCGTTTTGTCATTTGGACCAATTAGTCAACATTACTAACATTACACCATATCCAGCCTTTGTCTTTCACAGTTGCTACCATCGGAGAGTCTTTAGTGGTCACTTGTGAAAGCTCACGGCAACGCTCCTGCTTCATAGAAATTGCCAAGCGGCTCAGGGATCATTTTGACGTGTTTTAAAGACATTTTGAGTGTCAACCATCAGCCCACCGCCCAAGCCCTACAAGGGGTGGATTGCGCCACGAACAGCTTCCAAGATACACGCTCTTTGGTTGGCAAGTGCTGCGTGTGTGGGGTCATTCACCGCAGTTTTTGGAGGCCTTGCAGGCAAAAACAATGCAAGCGCAGCTGTGGTTGAGGTGTCCAACGACATCCCGAAGGATTTGATTCAGCTTCTCGGGCCCAACTCTTCCCTCCTGCCACTGTTGAAGACGCCACAATGGCTGCAGCCTTGGACGTCGACTGCCAGATGGAACTCACATCCATCGCCCTAAGGACCCCAGCTATGGAGCGCCCGGCGCACGAAAGTGCCCGCACAGCATGAATGCTCGCGCCGCGGGAACCAGCTGGAACAGGCCCCTGTGGCAACGCATTGTTTTTTTTCTAACGACTGAACATCAAAAATTAATCAACAAAAAAGCCTCTTATATCTTTTATAGAGTTGTTTTGGCAACGCTGGCTGGGCTGTGGAAAGAGACAGGGTCGAGTGGCTTGCACCCAAAGTTGGTGAATTAGTCTCACAATATTGCGCACGAGCTCGCTCTCGTAATGAGTTGCGGAATAAGAACCTTGGAAGCAGCGAGCTTCCTAGAGTTGACGCTCCTTCAAAGTCAAGGGCTCAGTTGTCATTTAGCCCTGGTAGGCTGAGAGGCTTGCCATTGATTCTTTTCATGTTGGACGACATTGGCAGCTTCTGTGCAGTGTATTTGTCGACATGACAAGTGAACTTCCCATACAAGCAAGTTCCAGCATGTTCTCATTGTGTGGCACGGAAACTGAAAACTCAAACCAGCACATTGTTGGAGTGCAGGAAAACTGGAGGGGGGGCAGGGCGGTCACAAATTCCACTGGCAAGGGTATAGGATCGTTTCAGTAATTGGTGGATTGGTGGATTCTTTCGAATGGTTGTTTAATGATTTAAGGATGTTTGCGGTTTGTTTGTTTGGCTGTGCAGTTCCACTGCAGTTTGTGGAATGCAACGTGTTTGCTCTGAAGCTCGTGGATGTGTTGGATTTATTGATTGTTGAGGTACCACGGTGAGAGTCCCAGGAAGAGATGCCCAAGACCATCCAAGATCATCCCTCACACATTCAATCGCTGATATGCCTTGCTCAACATCACGTTTGGGCGGTTTTGAGGTCCAAATCAGCAAACAGCTGGATACATGTCGATCATGAAAGTGTGATCCCACCACTGTATATCATCAAACATTCAAACTATTTGTCAGTTGTAACAATTTGCCACACATGTTGGATTTTTTGGTTCCGACGTTGACTGTCCAAGGTTCCTTTTGTTTGATGCAATTCAAAAGTTTAATTGCGGACATGTATTTTTTTTGGTGTGTGTGTGTGTGTTTTCATCAGTTCTTGTGGATGCCATGGTGCATTGGGCAGCTGGAGTTGGAGCAGCGATCTCAATCAAGGTATCGTCTTCTATAGAATCTTGGGCAGAGAGTTCAGCCAGTTGGTGCGTCCTGTTGTAATGTGAGTTTGCTGCAACACAAAAATTTGGGTGAGAATTCAAAACAGAAACTTAAATGCAAGATGTTGCATATTATATACAATTGTTGCAATCTTTGCACGACGCAGGTAGAAATGCGAATGAGTACAATTCAATGAGTGAGGGATTCCAACAGGGAAACTTCAAGGACCATATGCAAAGTTGATGCAGTTTGACGGTGCGCACATTGCATGTCACTTGCTTCTCACAAATGCCAAGGATGATGTAGTGTGGCTGGCACCCTTTCTCACGAACAATGTCAGCCAGCTCTCCCGAACCAGAAACACTGCGATCTATGTATCAGTGTGTTTGGTGGCTTTCCAGCAGAGAGAAGGTTCACGAGGGTCACAAGGCTTGATGTGTTGATCAAGGTCCAGCAGATTGGATCACACGTGGGACGGGCATGTAATACTGACACCAGAGCCATCAATTTGCATTGTGTACGGAGATGCAGTTGTAATTGGGGTCGTGGGTGCATGTTGTTCTGGTCGCAGTCAGTTCCTTTGGTTTGTTTGGTTGGCGGTGTTTGGCAATTTGGTCACCTTCATCCGAGGTACAGACGATGTTAGCAATGTGCATTGCGTATTCCGGCAACAAGATCGTGGCACTTCGGTTGATGTTAGCAATTTGATGCAATTTGTTTTCTGCTGCAACAGCAATCCCGCTCCCAAATTGTATTGTTGTGTTTTGTTATAGTTTGCTTGGGTTTAGAGTCTAGATCCCTCATTTTGTTGGTCATAGTCATAGACCTACTATCCTGAGAGAAACTTCATCCCGAGCTGCCGCTGCAGGCTTAGCCGAATTAGACATTTGCTTTCGGCATATTTTGGTGACAGGGACTCGAGATGCCAAGGAATACCTAACTCGAGATGCCAAAGATGCTTGGTCGTCTGAGAAGATCCTCACGGTCCTAGCTGGGTCCATGTTGGCGCTTTACTCAATAAAGTTGCTCTATGAATGGTGGACAGAGAGCGAGGAAGAGAATGATGAGAAGGATGAGGAAGGTGAGCAACAGAGACTTGACAAACTACTATGGAAAGGAATCTGTGAATTCAGCCTGCCAGGAGCAGTTACTTTTGTTTTGCAAACGCCTCGCAACTCAGAATCATGCATTGTGAAATGTGTGAAATGTACTTCTTTGCCCGGCAATGTGCCGAGTTATCTCCAACCAAGGAGATATGCAAAAGTTAGTCCTGAGACCGATGTCGAGGATGGCGAACTGACTCCCATGTGGCAGGAACACAAGCATTTTGGATGCAAGGAGATGCACAGTAGAAGTTGTAAAGAGGAGTACTGTTAATTTGCATTAATTTACAATATGGAGATATTATGAAATACTATGAATATATACGGATACGATATATAAAATATAATATATTATGATAAATTTGTGCACTTGCAAGAACTTATAGCATGTCTATCCCTGAAGACTTAAGATGTCGTTGTTGCCACACAAAAAAAGCTGCTTAGGCATAATGACTCATCCAATGAGATCGCATCTTGGACTGTTTCATGCAAGACTTTTCGCTTAGAAAGAGCACACACGGAGGCACGGCAAGCACAATTGATACTCTTATCCACCACATTGTAACTTCACTTTCTAGTGCAAGAGATTTGTCTGAGTTACTGCAGAATAGCCATTTCCTCAAAGCAATTCCTATAGTTTGTTTTGCATAGTATGTATAAAACATTGAGTTCGGTGTTCGTCCTTTGTTCACCTTTCCAAGAGTGGTCTTCTCAAGAAACAAAAATTGCCTAGGAGATCCAAAGCAAAGCTCCGTCCCAAAAGGAGCCTTTGGCAGCAGAAGCAGTTTGGGCGGAAGTGCAAAATGCAGATTCAACACAGTTGGAGTTTCAATGAAAACGAATTGCCGAGATGTCATTGGTACCATGCAATGCCGCCCTATCTTCTCAGGAAGTGCAAAAACGGTGCTGTTTTTCTGTGGAGTTATTGTTGCAGACACACCAGAATTGTTATATACTGTAACTATTTTGTTTCTCAACTTCGGCCTTTTTTGCTTCGTTGACCCTTGACCCACGCCGTCGAAACAGTATGTCGAACTTGTTGAACTTGACCCTTGACCCACGTCAGATGAGTGTAACAAGATGTCATGTCACATAAGAACCCCCAGCAATTTTACGATTCCCAACCCTTGTGTCCACAGGAGATTGGACAAGGTTGGGCTTTCGAGCTCCACGGAAGACTGCACAGATCCGCTTTTCGACGGCTGTTTTTGAATGACATGATCCCAGGAGACTGCACAGACACAGACGTTGTTCGTGATTGCCTTCATTGGCTCGTTGGACGATCTCACGCTATTTGTGCCAATGCTGGTGGGGAAGGGGTACCTTGGCATGCCTTGGCAATGGGAATTCTTGAGTTTGTTCAGAAGATGTTGAGTTGAATATACTCAAGAGCCAGGTTGCGGTGCTGTCAGGGACCTTTGACTTGGGGCTATTGTTATCATGAAAGTGGCCAAAACTGATGGCGTTTTGGACATATGTCTTCCGAACAGTTGTCAAAATCTACAAATTATTATTTACCGTGCACTGTAAACATGGATTTGCAAGATGATGCAAAAGCGCAACACAGTACAAGCTTGCGATCAACATGTTCACAAGAAACAGTTGTGCCTGGCGGTGCCTCTTCGGCGACTTGCCGACCAAGTTGTCCCACAGAAACTCGCAGGTTGCATCAGGTTGCGTTGTCCGACTTGTCGCTGCACTGCCAAACCTTGATTTATCTTGTTTCGTTTCTGTTTTGTTTGTTTTGTTTTTTTAAGGGAAACTTAACTATAGCGGTGGCCTCCAACCCAATAGCTGCCTCCAACCTAATGGATTTATTGCTGCTGTGTATATTATATATATATACAGTGTTCCAATTTTGATGGTCAGTGTGCGCGCAAGCTCTTCGACCAATTCCACTTGCCTATACCGAAACAACACCAGTGCCGAACCGATGCTCTGACTGGGCTTTGGCCGAATTGAGCTGCTCCACAAACAATCTACGGCATGTTTTGTTAGGCACACTTGTCAGCGAAACACATCAACCGTCCACAAGACATGACAATCCCGGAAAATCAGAACAGCCAACATAGCATGAACTATGAACACACACACGTTTTCACACCGGACCACTCAAGTCAAGATACCATTGAAACCCGGTTGAATTGGTGTCCTATGTTAAATCACTGAGGCGGAGTCTACCTCAGCTTCCATCGCCACCCAACCCAATCCCTAACATTACCACAACGAGCAAAGATGTTGAACCCCTATGCATTTGTCGAGTTTGGCACCAGGATCCCTCATGGTGCCATAGAGCAACACCAAGAATCGAATTACTGCTTTGAATGGTTTGAGATCAGACCATTTTCAAGACCATGTTCTCGAGTAGAAGTTCAGTAATGATAAAGACGAGGTTTGATTTCATCCAGCTGATCATTGGAGCGTTGACAGCATCTGGGCTGATTGTGCCATGGCCCAACATTTAGAGAGACATTGTATGCAGCCGCCACAGAATATCACAGATTAATGCTTTGTGTAAATCACTTATAGACGCATATCAGGATGGCGGAAGCAATTTAGTTGCTTAATTTGCATGGCCAAAGAAGGCTGTAAGGCTCTAAGGCGGTGATCGGTGATAAGGGTGAGGGGTCCAAAAGGGCAGGGATCCATGTTTACAGCTCCTGACATTGACGTGTTGGTTCTTTTTTGGTTCTTTTGAGTCTTCTTGTTGTCATTACACAGTGCTCAACCAAGCCGAAGAAAGTCGATGAGCCATGAACCACGATTTGCACCTCAAGTGACATGAGCCGGATTGGTTTGGTGTAGGTTTTGTAAGACATTGACCACTAATGTATTAGACCTTTCAAGGATTGATGAGCACCAAACTCATGCCACTTCGATCCGCAAATAGCGACCAAGAGGTCTCTATTTGCCTCTTCGTGGGTCTTTGTCAACCAGTTGCTGACTGCATCTCCAAAGTACCGTTATTTGCAATTGTCGCAACTTGTCTTGATCGGGTGGAGGATGTCATCCCGGTGATTTAGGTATTATCTTGCCACAATGAGTTTTGGTTTTCCTCTTCTTTGTTCCGCTCTCCTAGCTCCAATACGATGCTGCAACAGAGGGGCTTGTGGTTTCCCAGCTTCAAGCCCCATGTGAGAGAGCTGCCACACACACATAGCTATCATAGCTTTGAGGGCCGCATCTCCTAGGTGCAACATAGGAATCTATACAGTATGTACTGTGAATTATGTACTGTGAATATATCTATGTATACATAACTCAAGCGGCTCAATGAAGTCAGAGTTTTGAATGCACCAGATGTTTGCCAATTTACACTGGCATGGTCCTTTGGACCAACACTTTTTTGCTTGCGTTACTCTGTTCCTTAGTATCCCTTAGTGTTTTTATTACAAAAGGACCAACACCCAAAGTATCGTGTAATCCCTTCCACCTTTAAAAGACACGGCCCCCCTCCGCCATTATTTAAAACAACTCGGTGATTTATATATATAATTATATATATATATTTGTTTAAAGGGGTTCCTGAAATGGAGGGACCTGCAAAGATGGACACCTGGGAAGAGCTTCGAAACAGAAAAGTCGCTCAGGAAAGTTAGACAAGTCCTTTATTAAACGCGTATATACTGTATCACAAATTGAAGAAACAAATAAACAAACACCTCCAGATCGAAGGGTATTTCCTTTTCCCTCTACAAAATCCTTTATTAAAATAGTGATCTTCATTAGACTTCCAAGCAAAGCTTTTGAAAGGTGATGTCGCTGTGCCATGCGGTTTTGTGCGACCTCGGTGGAAAGTGCAATGGTGGACAGACAGGGTGGACAAAGGTGGACAGTTAGGGTTATTTTAGGAACCTAATAAATATTTGCAAAAAAGCACTTCCATGTTGGTAGTTGTGTAGCGTCTTTATAGGGCGGCAATTACAAAACAATTATAAACCGTATTTAGGGGTCTCCGATATGATATGTTTTTTAATCGGGGGAGCTGTTTTTTGTAGTAGGTAGTCGAGATTAACTATGATGGTTTTGTTGCCGTCTTTCTCGCTAACACTTGAAGGAAATCGTGCCAACACCATGCCTTTGTAACGCTCGCATTCGACCTGTTCCAAGGTGGGATTCGCCACATTGCTTTTGGCGAAGCATCTCCGCTGCACGTCGAACGTAGGACGGAAGGAGTACTTGACCGGTGGACGTTGAGGGGTGATGAGCTTCACTTTCATCCATTTTGATCGGATGGCCTAAGTCTCTACCAATGTTTCAGTAGGCTCAGAAGAAAGAAAGGAATTATTTAGGACAGAAGGCTGGGAGTCGAAGAAATGACAATCTGAGATTCTGAGGTCCTTCACCATGACATAACCTCGGAAGAGGTCCGGGTTTTCTGAGCGAGATGGTTGCTGAAGGTGGCGATCTCTGTGGCCAGCGAACATGGCAGACAGACTCACGAAGGGACTGTGGCCTTCACATCCCACTGGTTTGAAATCCACGTTCGCATGGCTGAAGGCTGAAGGCTTCTTTTTCCTAGCGCTCAGCAGCTGGAGACTTGACAAGAACACGATAAGAACTATGCGTAATATATATATATATACATTTGCACTACTTATGCATGAATCCTTGCTGTCAATCTAAAAATACACCATAATCCCCTTTCCAATTGTGTGCTGTTTGTTTACTCCAAAGACTTGGATGTATGAACTCTCAAAGTTTGAGGTTTTAACTTCACCCTGTGAGCGGCAATAAACTCAACCCCCAGACATTCTTTCAAAGTGCTGTGGGCGTCCTTGGCTTCATGTTGAATGCACCCAGAATTGGTGTTCAGAAATAACATTAGCAACACCCGGCCGCTCAATTCCGTATTTAGATTGTAGACAGGCACATGTTGCGCCAGTCAAGGTCAAGATCCTGGCAACCAGGTGTGCATGAGGGAGCCGGGTTATGGTTCATGGCGGACGGACATGGGGTGCTCTATAAGGATGCTCACTAGCTACTAGTAGCTAGAAGCTACTAGGTGGAGGCTATCGCTATTAGGTTGGAGGCCATCGCTACTAGTAGCAAGAAGCTATTAGTAGCAAAGTTGCATTGCCATGTTGTTTGGTGTCATGGCGGATGTGGATCCATCCTCGCAAGTTTTCAAAAGCTGTAATCGGATCTACTTGGGATCCTCTTGGCTCAAACACCTCAAACACAATCAGCATTCCTGCGTTTGAACATACTACCGAGAACTATCATAAAATACGAGCTAAGATCGGGCAGGGTTGACATCTATCAACCGTGATGCCATGGGAGCCAAGAGAACGGATTGCAGTCGATGTACTACTATATTGCACAACATGTCGTTACACGATGCACAATCATACGATGCATGTTTCTTGTTTTAAACAAATCTCCGCGTCTCTCCAGCTGTGGCTTGTTTCACCGGCCGTTTGTGCTGCTTAGCTCCAGAGATGCATTGCGGCCTTGATTGTCCTGATGAAGTCATAGTTGCTGTGTGTAGTTTATGTTCTTTCATGGTGAGAGGCATATTGCCTTTTTGGCGAGTGTTGGTTTGGAGGTTTGGCTTTGCAAGCTTAAACTTTTGCTGGACCCGCATGCGACAAAAGCAACTGGCAACATCATAGTGACATAGTGAAAGCTTCAGTGTGCTTAGTTTGTTTGGAAGTGTCCCTGCTTTTGCCAGTGGAGTATGCTCATCGGGGGGTCTTCATCAAGTGATTGGTGATCAGCCAAGATGTCAAGCTGATCATAGATTGATGCATTGCTTGGCATTTTCAGTGCATACAGATGGCAACATCTCCCGCATGTTTTGGCAACGCCAAAGCCTGCTGAGAGATGCCAATGGTAAAATGGTACAACAACAGTTTGCCCACAAGTGACATTTGCGTGTGAAAAAGTGATTTGAACTGCTCGATCCAGCGACCAATGACTAGGTGTTGTACAGTGGATGGGCGGATAAGTCTCCATGGATCAGTCCCTTGCCTTGCAGAGATGTTTGCACCCTTTGCCAATCCTAGCTAATAACATCTCAAGGCGCCTCCCAGGTGAGTCGCAAGGTGTTCTTCGATAGCATTCAACATAGCTTTGGGACTGCAGGTTGCGACAAATGAGCGAATTGTTCGAAGTCTCTCACCTCACCCCAAGACCTGCTTACGCACAAACTGCAGCTTGGGCCCGAGTTGCGGTGGGGCGTGGTTTGGCCATGGTCGGAGCCCAAATCATGGCCGCTTGCACTGGCCATGCAGGAAACGGAAATGGTATTGGTAAAGTTGATAGGTGTGCCATATTAGTTGATGTGGAACGCATGGTTGGGTGTTTGTTTGATACACACAAAAAAGCAGCCAAACTCAAAATCACTCGGTTTTGGGCCGACACGGCCTTGTGTAATTGGCTTCACCGCATCACTGAGGCGGGGCTCAAGGCCTTGGTGGCACCCAACCCACAGATCCCTGTGCCCGGTGTCCCAGCTGTGTTTGTTTAGCTCAATGTTCCTTCACAAAGGTCACAAAGGCCACAAGAAACATGACTTAAACATACTTAATCTTAAATTATATACTGTATATATATATATAAACATATTTAAAGGCTTACGCCTAACAGCCGGGCGCCGGCCCACGTGGGTCTGTGTGGCGTAAGTCACTATGTTGGCCTTGGTGGGGCCTATATTGAGCAAAGTTAAGCTATCTGGTGCGCATCTTGGGCCCATGTTGAGCCTATGTTGGGCCTATGTTGGCCGCCTATGTTGGCCTAGGTTGGGCCTATGTTGGCGTATGTTGGCCCCATGTTGGCCTATGTTGGCTCTATGTTGAGACCTGTTGGAGGCTATGTTGGGCATATGTTGGGGATATGTTGGGTATCTTGGGCCTATGTTGGGGATGTTAGGCAATTTATGTGGAAAAAATCTGATAGTTCCTCCAGTTTTGTCCTCCACAAATCGTGGGGGGGGGGGACCACCCCCCCCCCCCGCGGGGGGGGGGGGGGGGGTGAAAGAGTGACTAGGGCGTACACGGTAGAGGTGCAGACCGCTAGTGTCTTTTACTCACGCAGAGTCTTATCCTATATCTCTTGAGCCTTGAAGCAGTCAAGCATGGACACACTATATCGGCTGTTGGAGTGGAACCCTGTACAGGTAGGCTCTACTTTTCAGCAGGCACAAGATTCATGTCCACTCCTAGCTGATTGCGTATGTCGCATACTCTTTTTCTACTGCAAGGCTAAAACAGTCCAGCTAGCTCTGACAACTTAAAAGAAAACTACGGTGCCATGTACTTACCTAATCCAGTGTGTTTCACACTTCAGAGAAGGTAATCTCATAGCTACTAAATACAGTGAGGGAGCAATAGCTGACTCACCTCAAGTACAAAATCAAAGCGATAATGTACCTCGGCTGGAGACTGTACTTTTCGCAGGCGGAGATACCATGTACCGGCGCTCACTAGCTCTTTATGGCCTGAGCTAAATCAAAATAAAAAGGGAAAGCGGCTTTTTCTCTACAGAGACCTATAAAAGAATCAAACGACACTCGCGTAACAAAGAACTAAAAATTCAAGACCGCACAAATTGCAATGAATTAAGATGCCTTGCAAAATGCAAGGAGCGTACGGTTCGAGGAATAATCTTCTCGTGACGTGGTCTCGACCGCTTTCATTCACAGACAAAATAAAACTGCATCAAAAGGACTCTCTTTCACATTCACATCAAAAACACAAGAAGGAGATACCGGCAAATGTATGTACAAAAAAAATCGCGCACTACAATTGCAAATCATGAAATGACTTAATCATCAACCATGACTGGTTGTCCATTAGAGGTCATCTCAGAAAAGCGGCTGTGATAGATATCATCAGTTATGCAAAACTGTCCATACCTATCTACATGCTAAAGCGTATAAACCTGGAATGCAGGAGTATCTTCTTTGATAAAAGTTTCTCCTCATTGCAAACCAGAATTTATTAAAACTTCAGCCTGGCAACTTAAAGTCAAGCCTGGAAGCAAAGTATCAACTGTAACCAGAAGTATCTTCACTTCCTAG